TGGCATCGGTCTGACTCAAACCAGTTATTTCAGACTTGCAAGAATCAGGTAACTGCGAGCCAATTTTACTGAACCCGGTAGTAATATCAAATGTCTGTGGCACGTTATTGAGAATCCGGTCTTCAATCAGCTGGTTTAGTGTTACGGAAAGTTTCACAGAAACAATTCTTTCTGACGTGTAGTGTGTCGATTGCGATTTCAATAAATAACTTAACGTTATCTGCCACAGTTATAAACATTGCACTTAAGATATGTCATTTACTATGCTGAATTTCGGTAGAATGTGTCATTCAAATTGCGTGAGTCTTCGCTTTCAAAAAGCAACTTGGACTGCTGGCTGTGTTAATGTCGGTGTGTGAGTGAGGCAGACTGAGTAGAGATGTTATCGTTACAAAGATACGAAGATTTATGGACGAGTTTTCTATTTTATCTTCTGCACCCCTCATTTTCCCTTACCGCTGTTTCTGTTACTTCGTTTATTATCTGTCCTTCTTGTCTCGGCTTGTCTCTCCAACTGCACGCCCTCTTACCACCACCTCTGTGGCGCTCTCCCCGCCAGTTGCAGTCAATATTAGCTCTCCCATTTCCGCATTGGTGTTCTGAGTGTATTTTTATGATGCCAAAATGTAGCGAAATGTTAGCAGTGAAGTTGCTTTCTACTCTTTTAACAGCGGTCAACCGGAATGTTCGCATAGTTTCTTGTAGTAGCACAGAGCATTACCAACCGTTTTCAGAAAATTCTGAAATCCCGTGAGATATGAGGTTCTCACGGCGGAGAATTTAAAAATCCGTCGTTATTATCCCTTCCTCTGGAACTGTGGTTTCCAAAATGTTCTCGTTCATAAAAACCCCTTGTCCTAATAATCGGCACACGTTTTGTATGTCTTCCCTGCATCTGCTGGCCCTGTGCAGTTAAGTCTCAGCACGTGCTTCCTAAGTCATCCACTTCCGGAATGTAAAATAACCTGTTGTAAAGTTGTCCCTGGGCCCAAGTATCACGCCGTGAAGTTTCGCAGACACGTTCTGCTCACTAATCCGATTCCAAATTAGGAAAAGTCTTCCTCGGAACCATTTTGAACATTTTACACTGTACCTAAACACCACCCCAGGAAGTCGTTGTAGGAGACTCAGCGACATAGACTTCGTGCACTAATAGAGTGAATATAGTTCTGGGAAACAATTTCATGTCCAATGTATTTCGATCCCGGACGTTTTAGGAACGAGCTGGACGACCGACGTTCATTTTTCGGAAGGGGTAGAGGCTTTTCTTTTCGCCACCACGTCGCGTCCAGACGAACCCTGCAACTCACGAAACTTCCCATCCGATGGGTACCGGGGGTTAAGCCTTTGGGGTGTGAAAATTATCATTCATTTGTACCTGGTGACCAAGTTATGAATGCTGCCCATATGTCTTGACGTTTTGCTATTTTTGCACCAGATACAGCATTGCATGTACCAACTTCGCGGCACTAAATTGTTTCAAGTGTTATTGTTTTTGCATATATTCATTTGTAACGTCTTCTTCCGTACTGTAATGTGTGCTCCACCTCATTCAAATTAGTTGCAAACAGTGGATTCTGTCGTTGATGCTGGCTTTGGTTGTAAAACCGCGTGGAGGATCATTTAGTTTTCATCTTTAGGGCCGTCGATGGAGATAATATGTTCATCCGGAACGTTGATTGACATCTGCCTAAAATTCTTGATTTTTCTTTCTGCACGTCACTTTTCACTGACACAGGGATACTAAACTACAGACTACCTACAAGTCTACATGGCATAACAACCCAGAAGTCTAACATGACATCTTCACCGCCTTGTATTAGACTAGTCTCTTGTCTCACTTGTGATCTCTTGAACAGTTCACGTTGGAAGTCGAGCATTCTGTGTAGACAAGTGAATATTTTAGCAGAGGTATGCCGGAAATATATAAATATACAAACCGGTAAACTAACTAATGATTTTGGCAAGCCATTGTTCCTCCGTTCCATGCGTTCGTAAGTGACATAAACATCTTTCACAAAACCTTGAACTAAGTTTGTTTACGATACCAAATAATGCTCACAGCACACTCGCTCGGTGACCACAACAGGAGGGACAGTGACAAGAATAAATGTGGGAACTTAGTTGTGTACAAGAGTGGTGTAAGTCCACGGAATGAAACATCTTGGCTCAGATGACAGGTTTGAGGAGTTGAAGCATGGAGACTTGTGCAGCTGATGGACTCTTTTATGAAGGTCTGTTGTTACCGTGAAATGAAAGTAGATTGTAATCTTTCGTCTGTGGCGTGTGGGGGCAAAGAGAGAAGGAGCGAAAGAAGAGGGGGAGACAGGAATGGTTTAGGGGCGGGTGGGCTCAGAAAATTTGCCTATACTGCCTACTGTTTGTAGTTTCTATTGGGTACAACATGACAAGGGCAGACCATTCTATTCATGTTGCATGCAGTGTTTCCACCAATGAAAAGAGGGCAGATGGTCTGCTATTGGTTGAGTTCATGTATTATAAAAGAGAGACGAGACTGTTTCATACACTTACAGTTTATGAAGCTTCATGTCATGTCTGGATTTTTAATAAGCTGCTTTAACATCATGCGCATAAAACAGTGTGGTAGCCATTTCTCATATTCTGAAGTCTTTTATGGAAGCTGTGGACCTTGTTCTCTCCCCCCGTTTTCAGACGGATTGCAACGCTTTGTTTTATACCTGGTGAACATTTTTCCGTTTTCTTAATCCCTTTCGCATTGCCTAGGACATCAGTTAGGCATAGGCTGTGATATATTAGTGGTTGCCGGTTGCAACCAGTTATATGAACTGTACATAATTGCATATTTAAACACGTACTGTGTTACTGTGTATGGGTTTGACTTATTAACAGGGTTAAATATTTGGATCCAGATTCTTGTAAACTGAGGACAGAACGTTGTGGTCACTTGGGGAGGATTCCTGCTTCGTTTTCAGGCTGTCCGCCGTTCGAATCGCAACCCGGAGGCCGGCTATCAGACCGAAGTGTCTTTGTGGTTTTCCTCAGGCCCATCATACACATGCCGGGATCGGTCACAACAGCTTCTTTCCATACCCGTTCTAATTGTAAGCACTAACTAACTTGAGCTATTAACAGCACTATTAAATAACCAATTAATAGACGGGGTATTTTTAACTTTTGCAGGCTTCAAAGTCATTATTATTTTATTGTTGTTATTATTAATATTAATAGTATTGGTATTATTATGTAGAATAATGAATGCGATTTAGTGATTAAAATGTTTTCATCGTCACATTTGTAAGCGAAACACAAAAGTGCTGAATTCTAGTCTTCAAATGTGTGAGGGGAAATGTTTTGAACTGCTGATTAGTTCCATTACTCCTTAAGTCCAACATACCAGTAAGGGGGATAATAATTGTTTACCGAATTTAGCTGTAGTTTAGTTTGTTACAATATGCAAATATTGATGTAGGATTTTAATCGGTAATCACACCATGTCTCAAGGTTCAAACCCTGTCTTGGCAATATTGTTTACATTGTAATTGCGTATAGACACACAGAGTAACTACGGGAAAAAAACCCGGAAAGCAGCAAGGTAGGCTATCTCTAAACGTCGCCCTTATGCTATTTGGTTGTTGTTTCTTTATCATCTGTCAGAATACAGTGTAATTTTATTAGGCTTGTAATAGTAATACTTTGCAAAACTGAATAATTGATTTAAATAATTTTTTTTCCGTTTTCGTTGGAAAATTGCCATTCTTGGGAGCACAAGACCATATCACGCGAATATTGCTCATCTTCATTCAGCCTTTACGAATCGGGCCTTATGACCTTTCGCTGTCCAATAATATGCCTGCTACTGGAAGTACGAATTCGACATTTCGTTGGACCTCTTGAGCGGGTGATCAGACCGTTGCAAGGTTTGTTCACCTCCACAGCCGTCAACGGATACACATCCATGCCTCGAGGGGAGTTCCAACTCAGGTCCTGGTGTTCGAGCAGTCGATATCAGCGTCATACACCGCGTGACCATTGATCGCCAGCTGACGTCTTACTAGTTGATAATCTTCCAGTCATCGTGTCAGCAGAATGTTAATATTTAAACTTAGAATAATTTTCTGGTAGTTATTAGTAGTCTGAGAAGGGG